ACTTAATACTGAGAACAAGCAAGCATTAACATACAAGCAGCCAACTAGGCTCTTGAGATCTCTCTCCACAAGAGCAGCCAGAGCATTGCTACTGATTTGCTGAACAGGAAGACAGAAGACCCCCCCCCCAAAAAATACATGGTTATGTACCTGTGTATTCCTGGACTCTGAAGCAAGTTGTCCAGATTAAAAATAAAGATTGCTTTCTTTCTCAAAGGAAACTTGCAGCCATGTCAAATAACTTACACAGACTGTATTACACATTATTGCTTTACAGCCAATGGGACTAGGGGYGTTACATGAAGCTTAACAATTACGACCTATCTCCACTGGGGAAAAAAAAAATCTAACCAACCCTGAGAAAAACAGGAGGGAATAATCACGAGAAGACCAGCTCCTTTCACCTCAGTATAAACAAATAATCAAAGAACAGATGGATCCTTGCATGACATTTCATTGCAAAAATTACTAAAATGGCATTACAACCATTTTTGAGTGCCTACTTCAATAATAAGTTTTTATTGTTATACTCCAGAGCTTATACTTCAAAAAGAATCTGTACTTGTATTGGACCTCTCTTTACAGACTGTTAAGTGACTTTGACTCCACAGATACTTTCTTCTCCTACTTACAGCTATCATGGCCCATTGGGAATGAGCTGAACATCATTTTGGGGCTTTTTTTTTTTTTTAAGCACTGAGAACACTCCAGGGAGGAGGAACTCCTTGCTCTTTGCCTGATGCTGTTAATAAAAGAGTGTCTGACTTTGAAAAAAGCTCTAAAAACATTAGACCAAATTTTGGTCAGAGATATTGAAGGCAGGGTGATTTAAAACACATACAGAAGGAAGACAACAGCTTTTCCCAAACGAGCTGGGCTTTAAACACCGTGTGAATTCAGGCATTCAGAGTTTGAACAGGTTTTAGCAATAGAAGCTAAAAGTGGTATGCACCAGGAAAACGAACCTGTTTGCTGCCTCTCCCAAAAGCAAGAAGCAAGGAAGAGCAGTCAGCCTGGCTTTAGYATCAGCACATACAGGACAGGCAGGGCCTTTTCCCCTCCTTCTTCTCAGATCATCTTTTTGTCAGAACGGCTTGTTCCACCTATTGCAGCATCTAACCTACCTCTACCGCGATCCATGGGGGTGTCAGCATGGGAGGAAGACAGGGACTGACGTGTGTGCAGCACTGGAAGCCGGTCTGATGCTGTGGCAATGAGCACTGGGCTGGAACCAGCTACTAGGGGGAAGGCGAACCTCTCTGCTGAAAAATGTGGAAATAAAGGTGTAAGCTAAAGACAAAAAACCCAGAACACTGAATTTTACTCACAAGCCTGCAATTTAGCTGATGGTCAAAATCTGAGTGAAAAGGGGACTCTTCTCTAGCCATATAAACCTTCTGCACCTGATTAACACCACTCACATGTGGAATCCCTCCATGAGCAGCTAGTTACTCRAGTAAATAAAGTCAGACCTTGCTTTATCTTGATTTTATCTACAGCACTGCAGTTTTATCTTCTTTCCATGCAGCACTTGCTGTGCTAACTCAGCAGTTCGGGCAGGCAAGCTGTTCTGTCTCCTTTCTCTCTCACCACATTTTGTTTGGTTCTARAATGAAAAGGAGGGAGAGCCTGGGAGGTTAAAGGAAAGTCTGCAGAGGATTCCTCTTCCCCAGATTAGGATTTAATTGTATTCCTAGTGAGTCCCTTCTGGTTGCGCTTGGTCTTTCAGATGAATGTTTCATCAATATGATTAGGATCACATCCCTCAGTCTAGTCTATTTACACAATCGGTTGTGACAGCTCAGAGTATAGTACTCCCTAAAGGAAATATTAGATACCACCCTATCATTTTATTCAAATCATATTTTGCACTCCACACTATCAGCCTAATGTCATTCTCTCCTGGATTATATAGCTGCGATACCCAGCCAGCACTAAAATCCTTCCAATAAGGATCAGATTAATATTTATATTAGCCATCCTAGTATTCTTATTACCCAGGCGGCCCTGGGTGCTTCCGAGGAGGAAGAGAAGGGGACGTACAGGCGAAAACATTAAAAATGGGGATGCGGGGAGGAATCAAAGTGGGAAGCAGTCCCTCCTCCCCCAGGCGCGAACACGCGTGGATCGCGGCCTGGACCGGCGGCGCCTCCGGCCCGAGAGCCCAACCGGGCCGCGGTTCCGCCGAACCGGCTCGGCTTGACTCCCTTCTGCACCCACGGGCGCACATCGGGCCCGGAGCCGGCGGGGAAACTTGGCCTTATTTTTCCTTTCTTTTTTGGGGGGCAGGAGGAGGGACCTGGCACCAGGTGCGTTKGCCCTGGGCGAGGAGCGCGGCCCGGTTCGGCCCGTTCGCACCGCCTGGGGCGGCGGAGCTCGTCACGGAGCCCTCCCAGGAGCGGGGGAAAGAGCAAGCGGGGCACGGGCAGCCTCGGCGTGGGCCTGGAGGGAGCGCTCCAATTCGCACTGAAAGTAACAGCCCGTCCTGCACTTGAAGAGTGGGAAAAAAAAAAAAGAAAGAAAGAAAAAAAAAAGAAAAATAGAAGAAGAGAAGAATAAAAACCCTACGAGTTGGCAGAGTGCGGAGCGGTGCCGCTCTGGGCGCTTTGGTTTTGCCCTTAATCCACTGCTGAGGGCGCTGATTTTTTTTTCTTTTTTCCTCACTGGCTTCATGAGAGGTGCGAAAAACACGCGAGCTGGTGCCGAGAGGCGCAGCCTTACCGATAGGAAACGGCGCGGGGGCGGCGGGTCACTTCGTTTTTCCACCCGGGTGTTTAATATAGGCACGAAAGCGCGGGACGAGCGCCGAGGAATGAAGTTTCGTTAAGAAGTCACAAGGGAGTCCCGAGGTGCCCACGCCGAGGGAGGCGACGAGTTTCGGAGCGGGGCTGGTAACGAAAAAAAAAGAACCCCCAGCGGTTGCCTGACCCTCTGAAGCCGCTCKCCTTTCGGGGAAAAACCCGTTCCCGCTACAGCTCCTCACCCGCCCGGAGTCGATGTGTAAATAAATAAATAAATGCATTAAGTAAATGCATTAAATAAATGCGAGGCACGCAGCTCAACGAACCTCTCGTGTGTTGTGAAAATGCCCAAGTTAATTTTTAATTCGAAGGAAATAGATCCCAGTGGTTAAAAAAAGATACTAAAATAGAGTTCGTCCTTTTCGCGCGTTGCATGGGTCTGACTAAATTGTACGGGAGAAATTATCTCGAGGAGCAGAATGTCTCGCACGGCCAGAGTACGTGGCGACAAAGCAGATCATGCATTTGCCCCAGAAGCGAAACAGTAGCAAGTGAATTCCGGTTAGCATCCGAAAAAACAGCCCAACTTTCTTTCCCGGGGAGGCAGGCTGCGCAGCCGCTCGCCTCTCAGCCCCGCACCGCCTGCAGCGGGGCGGCAGCAGCGGGGGGCTTTTCTCTGCACTGCCTTTTACCTCGGCTTATTCCTCTCCGGTACAGCTCAACTTTCGCAGCTGCACGGAGTTTTCATGTAAGAACTAGCGAAATACGTGCACGGAGGCTGCGCCGTGGTTACGGTGCAGCCTTTGCCGCCCGAGAGCTGCAAGGCGCAGTCGTCGCGGCTGGGCTGGGGACGCGGAGCTCTSTCTTTGGGGAGCCTCTGCACGGGTTTTAGCACCCCTTCCCCAGCCGCCTCTGTGCAGCCGGTTTGGAGGAAGGGGGAAAATCCTCCTTGGGCTCGCCCAAGTCCGCGATAACGGATCTGCCGAGGAGGGGCGGCTCTTTCTTGCCCAGTGAGCGCTGTTTGCCCCGCTAAATCGCATTACGAAGCAGAGTGCAAGGGTAGTTAACTTTATCTTCCGCTAATGTAAACAAATAAGAAGCATGCAGTTGCTTGATCTTTATTTAAATATAGCGTTGTTTATCAGTGTCATCCCGTGAAGATTAATTAGATACCTTTATTCGCAATTTGGCGTCTGACACCCCATTTTAGGAATGCATTATAATCACAAGGTGTTAATTGGGGCCAGTCAGGCACTTATGTTTCTATTAAACAGTGTGAGGACTTTTCACAAGTATTAAGCCTTTTTTTTTTTTTTTTTAAACTGCGCAGTGAAAAAGAATATATATATGCATACATATATACATACGCACATATACATGTAAATCTCTTCCGAGCACCACAGTGCTGTGGAATCGCGCTCCCGGGCGCGGGAATGTTTTGCAGCCCCAGCAGAGCAGCCGGAATGTCACTGCACCCCGGGGGGGACATTTCCAGGAGAGCCGCGGGGATATCCCTCCCCGCGAGGAAGGGGGGAAAGAAAGGGGGAGGGGAGGAAAAAAAAAAAAAAAAAAAAAAAAAAAACTTTAAACCGCTAAAACTCTCCCCGGTGCCCCCGTGGGACGCGCCTGGCGGTGCAGGGGCGGCTGCTGGGCCATCGCCGATGTCTTTTCCCCTTATAACGATGAAGGGGGAGCCTCGCCTCGAAACGTGCGCGCCAGGAGCCCGTGTAAGCACCCCGCGCTTGCCTTAGCTCCTCAGGGAGCGGGGGTGTTGTTTTTCCGTGGGAGGCAGGCAGCGCTAACAGCTTAATCCCATTACCGCCTTGCATTTCCTCGGGAAGGCTCCCGGCGCCCCGGCCGCAATTGCTCGCCGAGGAGGGGGCTCTGCCCTGGCCCCCCTCCCGCCGCGCCGATAAGCGCGCGGGGGAAGCGGGACGAGCAGGGAAGGGACGGGAGGCACCGGGAGCCGCCCCGGGGCCACCGGGGAAGAGGCGCCCAAGCGSCCGGCCCCCCCCAGTCACACTGCAGCAGCGGGGAAGCAGCGGAAAAAAAGAGCCCCAGTCTCAGGCCTGGCACCACCACATTTATTAAAAATTACTACTATGTACAGAGGGGAGGGGGAAAATAAAACCAAGCTGCACCGGGAAGAGATCGTGTGCCAGCGGTGTAGGGGCGATCCGCTTAAAAGGGCTGAGAACTAGAGAWAGGCAAGAAAGTGGATAAGTTAACATCACTTCCAGTTTTGTACAGGGCAGCTGRAAAAAAGTCACCTTACCTACACGTAAATAGAAATTTTTTTTTTTTAAATAAGCAATGCATTTGCAATGTTCTGTACGCTAAGTTTGATTAATCTGAAGAAAATGCCTTTAGGACTTCAAAGCACCACTGGAGGTCCTGCCAACTGCACTGCTATAAGTAGACTATTTATACAGTATTCCACAATATTCTACAGTGTACCTAGACAAAACACAACTGTACACTTTGATTCTTTTTGGCCACCTCAACAAAGGTTAGGCTTTTGGGATAGAGGCATTCCCCCCCCCCCTTACGCTAGACTAAAGGAAGTCGAATTTGGTCACTGTAACTCCACCAYTGGCAACAAGGGCTTCAAGACAAGTCTGCCTGGCACACAGGCCTTATTTTGACTGTGTTCTGCCAAGGAAAGCCCTAGCTGAGCAGGATCCAACTCTGCAAATTGTGCTGCAGCACAGCCTAAAGCACAACACCTTTTGTGCAGCGCTGCCCCTCCAACCCAGCCCCCTTCCATTCAAAGGTTAGGCAGGAAAAAAGGGGGAATTAGGGATCCAGACTCCCCATTTCCTGCCCAGGAGTGCATAGATTTCATCAGGCCTCTGAGCCAAGTCAAACTGTACACTTTAGTGTCTTCAATAAATAAGCTGCACTGTAAAACTCTAGGCTCTTGCTTACAGCTTCCACATGTGGTTCTTTCTCAAGTTAAGAATTCGGTTAAACTTTGCTCTCTCCCTACTCGGTTACCTGCAACAGTCAAAAGCTTTGGCACCTTCTTTAGAATTGCACACAACAATTCAAGGTGGAAGGTAAGAGTCTTTTTGGCAATTGTGATGCAAAAAAAAACCAAGGCCACCCTGAAAAAAAACCAAGTTAGCCAACTGGGATAAAAGAACACTTTAAGAACTGGTATAGAATGCGTAGTAACCCATGCCTTTTGAAGTGTCTTTGCTATAGTCCTCAGCATTAATGTCCTCACATTTCATAGTCGGGGAATTCTCATTGCTTGAAGTGCTAGGGGAGAGTCGCCTTCTCTTACAAGCACCCGTGTAGACCCCAGAATCGTTCGAATCTAGAGACTTTATGGAGGGTGGAGTCTCTATCCAGGAGGAGCCAATTTCTTCCTTGACCTTCTCCTTGGAAAGCTGGTCTTCAGAGAAACCCGGAGGGCTTGTTCGGGAGGTCCATGGTAATCCCGTTGTCATTTTTCTCTGGTAAGAGCCTCTGCTCCCCCAGCCTGCCATGGACGGAAATGTTGGATCAGGGTAATATCCCAGAGCATGGGATGTCTGCAGGGGAAGGGATTTAATGCCGTACGGGAGCAGGGTGCTCGGCGAATACTCCGTCTCATAGGAGTTCATGTCCAACTTGTTGGCGCCGGGCTGCTGCACGGGGGTGACGAACCAGCGCTGCGGGGGGCTGGCCACCTCCTCGCCCTGCTGCGGCGAGAGCAAGCCGTTGGCCTGCGGCACCGCCCGCTCGCCGTTGTAAAACCTGCCGGGGGGCAGGTTGTTCACAAACTGCTCCTGGAAGAAGGGCTGCACGCTGTACCGGGCCCCAGGCACGATCTGGTGGGATCTAGGAGAATCCGTGGGAGATGGAGTTAATCTGTCATTTTCTGAAGCTGTGTACATGCTACAACGTAAAAGAGAAATACTGAGTGTTGTCCTTTACAACTCCAGGCACGCTACTAAAACAAAGCGCTGAACAAGAAACCAGCACGTTATCACTGAATCAAAATCACTGCCAGGTTGAACTGGCTGAAGTTCATTTTCATTCATCTGTTCTCAGACTTTACACTGCTCCTGGACACAGGCATCTAATCATTACTACATATATGCCCTGTTCTCAGCCAGGCAACCCATTTTAAGTGAGGCACAACACTTTCTCCCAGAAGCCATGCTCAGTACGCACAGCTTTCCTAAGGCTGTTTGTAGGCAGCATGAGAGCATTAGGCAGATCTTCCAGGGGCAACCTGATGACACTGCCTGTTCTGCAGATATACTTGAAACCCCAATACTAGTCTTCGGGCTAAAAAATTTCTTAGACCGTTYACCCAGAATCCAGAAGCCTGTCGGAAGATACATGCATTAACTACTCAAACATCTCTCTAAACAGAAGGCCTTTTTGAGGCCTTTTAAGTCACTGCCTCAGCTACCAATGCTGCCAGTAGAAACATTACTGCTTCAGAAACACTGAAGCTTCTTCCCTATATGTACATATATTTAAGMCAGAATTACCTCTAACATACAAAACAGAAATGTACTTACGAGTCATAGTTGTCTCTGAAACCTTTTGCAAAAGGATTGTGATCAATTTTGAGCTGCGTAATCTTAAAAAAAAGAGGCAGAACATAGTAAGATGATATGTTGAACACATGCAGTTTAGGTTCACTAATTCTCACTTCATACACACATACTTACATCAGTGTTTTGATAGGCTGTAACTGCTATGAATTGCGTTTCAGGAAAAATAAATGTTTGAGTCTTAGAAGAATCATTCAAATCTTCAACACCATCTTCAGTCACTTCTACAATATGAAGCCGAGGTTGGTATTTGTGAAGAGACTGCAGTACTATCATCTAGAAGAAACCACACAAGTGATGAGTTGTTTCCACAAGTCACATTTAACATTAATACTTATACGAACAGTCAGGCTATAAAATACTTGAGTTTTTTTGATTTGGGAATGAATCAGCTTTAACTAGCAGTAGGAGACAATTCACCCATGTGTGTGGCTCTCACCATCACAAGGTTACGGATACGCTAAACTCTGAAAATGCAGAGGATCAAGAAACAGAAGCTAGACCCTTCTTTGTGCTTTCCTCTGGAGAAAGACCCATCGGCTAAAGACAAGGAAACCCACACACCTACTTCCGACATTGCCCTTTTCAAAGCTGATGAGAATGAGCGGCTTGCTAGCCATTTAAGGAGGGGACAAGTCCCGGAACCAAGGACGTGGCAGCCCCAGAGCGAAGCCGCAGGCCGGCGGCGTCGGGGGCGGCAGGCAGCGGCTGCTCGGCGCCTACCTGGGCGTTGTTGTTGTTGGCACCCTTGTTGTTGGTCAGCTTCAGCTTCCCGAAGGAGATCTCCTGGCGCATCCAGTGGGCCCCGGTGTTGGGCGATTCGGGGTGCACGTAGACCTTGTTGCCTGGCCCAAGACAAGGGACTAAGCGCCAGGCGGCGCGGGGGGACCCGCGGTGCCCGGCGTGGAGCTGCCCGTACCTTGCATGTTGTTGTCAGCCTTGCCGCACGTCACCCACTTGCCGCCCTGGAAGCGCCAGTGGTTGGGATCCGCCAGCACCACCTCCACGAACACGTTGTAGTGCGCCGTGGGGTTGAGGCCCGTGATGTTGAAGCTCAGGAAGGGGAACATGCGCCTGCGGAGGACACGGAGGGTGCACGGCATGCTCGCGGCTCCGGGGCAGAGCCGCCACCAGCCCCGGCTGCTACATTTCCCGGGAAAACCCACCCGGCCACTGCCCGTCAGGGGACTCGACAGCGGACCCGCAGCCGAACGGTCCCCCCCCCGCGCCGCCGTGCGCGCCGCTTACCGGCCCTGCTTGGTGATGATCATCTCGGTCTGGTGCCGGTGGAACTTGAGCCAGAGGGGCCGGTTGCAGAGGAAAACCTGCGCCCGCAGGCCGGGCGCCGCGGCGGGCACGGCGAGCGCGCCCAGGCCGCCGCACGAGCCGGGCGCCGCCGCCGCGTAGGGCCCGTACAGGGGCCCGCCGCCCGCCTGCCCGTACTGGTAGCTGCTGCCGCCGCCCGCGCCGAAYTGCGCGCGGGCGCCGGGCGGGCACACGGCGCCCGCGAAGCCGCCGGGCGCCAGCACGGGGCCGTAGGGGTAGCGCGGCGCGGCGGGCGGCTGGTAGACGGCGCCGGGCTGCGCGGCCGCGTACGGGAAGAGCGAGCAGGGCCCGCCGCCCAGCTCGGCGCCCGGCGGCCCCGGCGACTGCAGGTAGTAGCGCTCGGGGCTCACGCTCTCCAGCGCGTAGCGCGCGGGCGGCAGCTCCTCGTCGCCGCACGGCGCGGCCTTGCGGCCCTCCGCCTTGGCGGAGCCGAAGGGCGGCTCGCCCGTCTCGGCCTCCCCCAGCATGGCCGGGAGCTGCGCGGGCGCCTTGTCGAGGCGCGGCGGCGGCGGGACCGGGACGGCAGCGGGCGGCCCGCGGGCGCTGCCGCTACTGCTGCCGCCCCCGGCGCCCTCGAGCGGGTAGAAGGGGCCCCCCGGCGCGGCGAGCGGCGGCTGCTCCCCCAGCTGCATCGGCAGAGCCCCCGGCGCGGGGCAGCGGCGCCGGCCCCGCGCTTTATAGCGCAGCGCTGCGCGCCCGGCGGGGAGGGGCGTGCGCGGGGCCGCTGCCTCGCCGCCCCCGCCGGCCCATTGGCTGCGCCGCCTGACACTAATTCAATTAGGCGACTACTAATTGGGACAAGTCACCTGTGACTCGGGGGTCCCCCCTCCCCCGTCTCCGCTTCCCTACCCCTCTCCCGAAACCTCCCGTCCCCGCTTCCCCACGGGGCGCAATCCCCCCGCAGGGGAGCGGCAGCATCCGCGGCGCAGATCCCCGCTTTCCCCTCCTCCCCCCAAAACACTCGCCCCCCTGCCGGGGTGTCGGGGCCTCCCGGGGACCCAGCCCGGGCGCGGAGCGGGAGGGAAGGGGGAAAACGAGACGGGGGCCCCGCTGCGACGGGGCGGGCGGGAGCGCTCGCCCCGCGCCCGCTTCCCGCCCGTGTCCCCCTCGCCCCGCTCTGCTCGGGCCTCCGCCGCCCCCCGGCTCCGCGGGCAGCAGCAGCACCGTGGGGTGACACGGGGCCGCTCGTGGCGCTTTTATCTGGACGTCGCTCTGGAAACCGGAGGGGATGATTCGCAGTTTCATTTTATTTTAGGCACCCCGTGCTGGGTTCCTCGCGAGCCCCTTTCCCTGCAGGATCCCTCCCCCGCAGGCAGCTTTCTAGCTCGGCCGGGTGCCGGCTCACGTGGAGCCTTTTTTATTTTTATTTTTATTTTTATTTTTATTTTTATTTTTATTTTTATTTTTATTTTTATTTTTATTTTTATTTTTATTTTTATTTTATTTATTTATTTTTTTTCTCGGCGGTGAGAGGGACGCGCACCCAGGAGGATTTAGTTGCTTGCGGGGAGCGGGCAGGGCCGACGTTAACGATTTCGTTGCTGCCTGCGAGGATGCGCCGCGGCTTGGCGAAAGAGCCTGAGGGATTTTTGATTGTGATTATTATTTTTTTTTCTCTCCCGGTGGAGCCGTTCCCGTCCAGCCGAGATGCGGGGCCCCGGGTCTAGGTACCGCAATGAACCGCGCTTGCCCCGCTGCTCCTCTCCGCGGCAGCGGAGTACGGAGCAGGGGAGGAGGAGACTCGGTTTAAATTCTGCCCCTGCTGTCCCCACCCTGCGGCTGCTGTCCTCGGAACGGGGACACGGGCGCATCAGGAGCCGCCCGAGCCCCCGCGGCGCTTCCCAGGCCGGAGGAGAGGGGCCAGCAGACGTTAAAAAAGCCAACGAGTGGAATTTAAGGCAGGGGATTTTAGCAGATTATAGGTGCGCACGAAAAGGCCCCCCCGGTTAAAAACAAACCCGTGCGGGGCAAGTGCCGCTTAACTCAGGACTGATGCGATTTTCTTTTTTTCTCCAAAAATTCGGACAGCTTAGCGGTTAGTTGGAAAATAAATAAATAAATAAGCGAACCAAACCTGCCAGCGTTGCTGTGGATTTCTTGAGGATTGCGCTCGCTTTTGGAGCAGGGGTTGATCAGGGAAACCGCGGTGGTCCCGGTGCCTGCAGAGATTTTCAGTTTATTTCGCTGAAAAAAAAAAAAAAAAAAAAAAAAAAAAAACCAAAAAAAAAAAAAAAAAGAAAAAACAACAACAACTCTGGGATTAGGCTTTACCCAACGAATTGGGCTGTTCGCGCAGCTCCTTGCGGAGCCGGGGTTGTTTTCAGCCGAGCTCGGGCAAGGGGCATCTCGGCCTCGGGCGCCGCACCGGGCTCCGGCCCCCGGGAGGTGTCACCTACTCCGCGCGCGGCACCGGGAAAGCGGCGGCACCGGGAAMGTCGGCGTCTCCACGAGCGAGCGCAGCCCTGGGGAGCCGGGATTTGCCCTCGCCTGGCCGACCGTGCGGCAGCGGGGGCACCATGCGATGTCGCCTCGCGGATGAACCCGCGGGAGCGGCGGGGCTGCTGCCGCTGAGAGCAGCGTGTCAGGTTCGTGAAACTACCCCGATAACGTGCAGACCGCGGAAAGAGCGCTGAAAGAGAGCGCAGGTCTTTGAAGGGTTACAGGTTGTCTCGTATCGTGGGGTTTTATTCAAATATACTCCTCGGGTTTATTCGGATAAGGAGCGTCCCTGGGCGCAGAGCAGCTGTTCGCGGTAAAACACCCCGTTTTTCTGCAGCCGCGGATACGCTGGGAAGACACCGTTTTCCCTCCGCTGCCGTCAGGGCAGGACCCTTCCCCCTTCGCTTACCAGGGAAGAGAGCCCAACTCCACAGATCGCTTCAGCTCGGGAGTCTGGGACCCCGAAACTGAGGGACTCTGCTCAGTGGGGCCTAGAGGGAGAAAGGAAGTTGGGATCCACCAAAGCTGGTTTATTAAGCCATTATCCGCATAGAGAGAAACCCATACATATCCAATATCCTTGTGGATATATAGGTTTAGAGATATTCCCACAGACTACTGGGTTGGTATGGACAGTTTATGTCACACGCTCCACCGGCCGCCCATGCTGTTTGGTCTCCGTCTTCTTTTGCCGAAGTCCTGCTGTTCCCGCTGCGGGATTTTAAGGTGGTTATGTGTTTTTTTTTAATTTATTTTTTTTATTTTTATTTTTTTTTAATTTTCCGAAGGTTACACGCAGCCGAATAGTTTCTGAAAGTTAATGTGTTTCCTTGTCTAATTCCATCATCCTGGTTAAAATCCAACTCCTCGTTCTGGACCTCCTGTTCGTATTGCTAATATCTGATTCGGGAAGGGCTTGGACACTTCCCGCAAGAAGCTATAGAGATTTATAAGTATTTTTATTTATCATCCACCCACTCTAGCTTTTCCTTTCTTGCTTAAACTGCATGTAAACTATCTGGCGAGGCAAAGGAAGGATGATATTTTAAAATGCACTCAGAGGTCTTCCCGCTCTTCCATCAGCCTTCAATTTCGCTTTTTAATTCACTAATATGAAGGTTTTTCAGGCGTAGCCAGTCATACGTGAGTGCCCCTTGTTTTGGATTGTGAATAGCTTTGTTAAAAAAAAAAAAACATAAGAAGTCTTTAAACTGTTAAAGTGTCTAAGCGAGGCTTAGGGCATTTCAATTTGGCAGCAAAATTCTGTTGCTATTTTTATGAAGGAACCAGCTACACCCTTCTAGTGCTCAGGCTTTTTCTTTCTTTCTTTTTTTTCCCCTCCAGTCTCTCAAATGCAGATGACAGCCACCTCCGTGGGAGCGCTAGGAGGCTAAACTAATTGAAAACGCCTTTTATTTTCTGATGTAAAGAAGTTCTGCTACAGTTGTGAACATCATTARTCCAGTTTAGCTCGTGGCGAGAGGAGTTTTCAGCGTGTAGGTGACGCACGCAGCCTTAAAGATAAAGGAAAGGCAGCCTAAAATCCATCCTGACYTGTAAAACCTCAAACGCAAAGGGTTAAAACGTAGAGTCGGGTTTTGTTAAAAGAGATACGTGTTGACCTTAAGAAAAGGCAAACTGCCCTGCAACTGCAACGGGTTGCTGTCTATAATATTAACCGGAGATAGCTCACTCGAATAGCAATTTTACCCTTTGATAATTAATTTAATTAATCTGTCACTTTCTTAGCTATCTAAGCCAATTTAAGAGGCAGAATGCAGACATAAGTTTAAAACAGGCACACGTACATACACAACATACAGACATAAGCCCTGTTATGAGCATGGAGCTATTGCAAACAAATGGTGAAGAGTCTTAGCTGAAAAAGAATGAGATAGAAGGAGCAGACACGAGTTAATGGACAGGAATCTGGAACGTACCTTGGAGAAACAACTCCGTATTTGAAAATAAAGTGCTTTGCAAAGCAGCCTTATTGGTAATTTCCTTTCTCCCCTTTGAAAGAAAAAGGGCACCTAAAAATCATTAGCTTTAGCTTTGATGTTGAATTAAAGGGAAGTGCAATGATTAGTAAAAACTAGGCAAGGTGTGATGCTTACAGGTTAGTTATGCCAGTGGAAGGGTAAACATATTCAGGGCTTCAAGTGGTTTCTCGACGGTGAGTAATTTTGCTGGTGAGGATCACGTAGATTTTTTTTTTTTTTTTTTTTTTTTTTTTTTTTTTTTGAGAGGGAGGTTGCGGGGGGGGTCACAAGCCATGAGCGAGGCCTGTGATACCCTATTGGCTGTAGAAAGACAGGGAATAAAATGCATTGAGAGAAAAAAGCGAGACTTGGTGAAGCGGGTGCCTTTGCCGTTGTGACAAATACTTGAGGAACTTGTGAGAAACCAGACAGCAAAAAATACCAAACAGGATTTAAATTTCAGGTGCTTCTCTTTCCTCCCAAGGAAACTGAAAGAGGGAAGGCTAGAAGGAAGGAGGAAGACGGGCATTAGGATCACAGAGCCACGCGCAACATTTCATATTTTGTATTATTCATGCAGAGGGATCTCCAAACAGCTCTTCTGAAATGCCTGTCTTTTCACCCTCCGATAAGTTTAATGAGGGATGCTTGGCACCTTTCCGCCCTCCTTAAAGCTGATCCCTCGCTCGCTCGCAGGTCGGTGCCGGCCGCCAGCCCGGCAGCCGCGCTCGGCGGACGCGCGACCCGCGCGGCACCGCCGCTCCCGTCCCGCCCGAGCCCGCGGCTCCGCTGGGAGCTCCCGACCCCCAGGCCGCCGGCTCCGCCTTGCCCGGCCCCTTTTGCCTCGGAAATGCCCGTTGGAAGAGCCCGGCTTCGACTGAACTGTATAAATCGTGGAAATTAAAAGCAGCGACTCAAATTCCATAGGCATTTTTTTTTTATTGCTTTTGTTGGATTGTTTTTTGTTCTAGCACTTAAAAAAGAAGAAAAAAAAAAAAAGTACAATTTCGTCCCTTGAAGGCCCTGACAAACTTCACGCTGCTCAGGGCACAGGATGTCAGAGCCATGAAATATTTCCCGCTGGTAACATAATAGCTGAGAAATATGATTTTGGGGGGCGGGAGGGGGGTGGGGAGCCGATGTCTTTCGCTCCCGTCGCGCTCGCCCCCGCGGTCCCCCTCTTTTTTTGGGGGGGAAGGAAAGGGGGACAC